TTGCACCACAGCAAAGCAGCCTCGGCTACTCTAGTCAGGCTGTTAGCTGGGATGCAGACTGTCATAGCAATGATCCAGGAACCATGGATAGTGGACAATGCTATTAAGGGCCTCAGTGGTTGTGGCAGAATCTATCACGCAAACACTCAGGAGAAAATTAGATCTTGCATTGTTATTAAAGGACTAGACTCTTTCTTCTGTTCACAGGCTAGTGAGGGAGACCTGGCTGTGGCACAAGTGGATCTGGGCCTGGGACAAGGCGAGGAAATGAGCCTGGTTGTAGGGTCAGTTTACATGCCCTATGACTCGGCTGAACCACCTCCTTCGAAAAAAGTAAAGGACCTATGCAACCATGTGAAGGAAAGGGGACTTGAACTCCTGCTAGGTTGTGATGCCAACTCGCACCATGTAGCATGGGGGAGCACCGGCATTAACGGCAGGGGGGAAAGCCTCCAGGAATTCATAATGGGGGCCGGTCTAAACATCCTTAATAGGGGGTCAGAACCTACCTTCATAGATCGGAGACGACAGGAGGTCATAGATATCACTCTGGGGACGGATAGAGTGGCAGACATGATTGGGGACTGGAGGGTCTCAAAGGACCTCTCAGCGTCCGATCATCAAACCATAAGAATGTCCATCCACACAGTGAAAGAAACGGAATGGGTGAGAAACCCAAGACGAACAAACTGGGGAAATTACCGAGAGAGTCTATCTGACAATCTCAGGGATATCATCCTCAGATTTAACAACAAAAAGCAGCTGGAGGAGGCTTCGATTGCCCTAAACCAGGCCATCATGGACTCCTTCGAGACAAACTGCAAGCTTATCCCGAAAGGGCAGCCCACTGAGACTCCTTGGTGGTCAGAGAGGCTCGGTGGGCTGAGGGGCAAAGCTAGAAAAGCTTTTAACAAAGCTAAGAACATGAGAGCGGGCCCCCGTAAGGAAGACGCATGGAAAACTTACAGAGGCTTGCTCGCAGATTACAACAAGGCAATAAAGGCAGCCAAAGAGGACTGCTGGAGGGCTTTCACAAGCAATGTGGAGAGTCAATCGGAGACCTCTAGGCTGGCAAAAATCCTTGGAACAAACAAGACTCCATATCTAGGGAGCCTACAGGCACCAGATGGCAGCCACACGGAAACCATGGGAGAGACTCTGAAACTCCTAATGAACACCCACTTTCCAGGCTTCATACAGGCCCAGGAGAGAGATAAAGAAACAATGCAAAATCAGAGGGATGTCTACGAAACCCATGATTGGGCATTGGCAAATAAAGTAGTGCAGCCCTGGGGGGTCAAGTGGGCCATCAAAACCTTTGAACCCTTCAAGGCACCGGGACCAGACGGGATCTACCCAGCCCTATTACAGGAAGGGATAGAGACTATCACGGGACCCCTAACCAAGATACTCAGAGCTAGTATAGCCCTGAAACATGTCCCTAGTGTGTGGAATGAGACTAGGATAGTATTCATTCCCAAGCCGGGAAAAACCGGTTATATAAAACCAAAAGACTTCCGTCCTATAAGCCTCACATCCTTCATCCTGAAGACCCTGGAGAGGCTGGTGGATAGACACATCAAGGCCGGGCCCTTGGCTGACAGACCCCTCTCCCCCTGTCAATATGCATACAGAGAGGGACGATCAACAGATACCGCCTTACATCACCTGGTGGGACTGATTGAGGGACAACTGGCGGTCAAGGGTTTTGCCATAGGCGCCTTTCTGGATATTGAGGGGGCTTTTGATAGCACTTCGAATCCGGCTATAGAAAAAGCCATGGAAGAACGACAGGTGTCCAAGACTATCATTGCTTGGACACAAAACATGCTGAAAAGCAGAAGACTGTCGGCAGGACATGGGAGGGCATGTGTGGAGGGACGTCCGACTAGGGGCTGTCCGCAGGGGGGAGTTCTCTCGCCCCTGCTATGGAACCTGGTTGTAGATGGACTTCTAAATCAACTAAGTGAGGCCGGCTTCCACGTCATCGGTTTCGCCGATGATGTGGCAGTTGTTGTGAAAGGCGGATTTCTGAGGGTGCTAAGGGACCTGATGGCAACAGCCTTCAATATCATTGAGGACTGGTGCAGGGTAACTGGCCTATCGGTAAATCCAGCCAAAACAACAATCCTGGTTTTCACCAGAAATTATAAACTGGAAAAGATCCAACCTCTGAAGCTAAATGGCTCGGAGATTAACTACACCAGCAGAGTGAAATATCTGGGTGTCCTCCTGGATAATAAACTCAGCTGGAAAGAACATATCTGTACTCAGAGAAATAAAGTGTTTGCCTCTATGTGGGCATGCAGGAGAGCTGTGGGCAGGACATGGGGACTCAATCCTAAAATGATGCTCTGGCTCTACCAAATAGTTCTACTTCCGAGACTGTTATACGCTGCGGTCGTTTGGTGGCCGAGGGTGAGTAAGACGGAAACAAGGAACCTGTTGAAAAGCCTACAGGGAACCTTCCTGAGGGCTGCAACAGGAGCCATGAAATCGACACCTACTGAGGCGCTAGAAATAGCACTCAGTATCCCACCCCTCGACCTTAGGGTTGTGAGTTGTGCTACCACAACTGCATATAGACTAAGGTGCCAACTAGAATGGAAGATGACGGGCCAAGGCCATACAAGGCTTAGCCTAATCAATGATCGACCCTTCATAGGTAAGACGGATAGGATTCCTAGGAAGTATCAGATCAGGAAAACTTTCAGAACGAGTATACCACCCAGACAGGAGTGGCTAGACTCGAAACGTAAACCAGGACCAAGAGAGGACTACTGGTTTACGGACGGCTCTGGCTTCAATGAAAGTTTTGGGGCAGGCATCTACCGTCTGAAAGATGGCTTCGGAGAGAGTTTTCCGCTGGGCCATCATTCAACCGTCTTTCAAGCAGAGATGCTGGGCATACTTAAGTGTGCAGAGTATCTGAACGCGAGAGACACAAAAAAGATGAAAATATTCATCTGCAGTGACAGCCAGGCGGCGATACACGCCCTGGAAAAACCCACTACAGAGTCACAGGTGGTGTGGGAATGCATGCAGGCATTGGACACACTGGGTAAAAACAACCGGGTCACCGTAACCTGGGTGCCAGGTCACCATGGGATTCTGGGTAATGAAGAGGCAGATAAGCTGGCCAAGGAGGGTACAGAAAGTGTGCCCTCACACGGCCTGCTTGGCATGCCCTTCGCAGTGGGAAAAACTCTTATTAAAGATCATTTCCAGCGGGATCATGTCAGGCGTTGGGAGAAAGTTGCGACCTGCAGACAAGCGAAACTGCTTATGAGAGGGCAACTAAGAGTTAGGACCAGAAAGCTTCTGGAGTTGCACAGAGGGGATCTGAGGGTAGCAGTAGGGCTCCTTACGGGTCATACAGCTCTCAGAGCTCATCTGTTCAAGATGAAACTTGCAGAACAAGAAGACTGCAGACTGTGCGGAGGCGATAAGGAGGGCGTCATCCACATTTTATGTGAATGCCCCCTATTAGCACTCCGTCGCTATAAAATCTGGGGCCAGCCTTTCCTGAAACGAGAGGACTTACAACAAGCGGCTGTCACCAGCCTTATTAGCCTAGTGAGAAACACAGGGCTGGGGCTGTGTGACTGACCGAAACTAAGGCGGAAGTTACAAAAGATCGTATGATTTAGGTGACTCTGGGCGCTTTAAGTGACCAGCCGTACTTTTTCTATTCTTCTATACCCACTTTTTGGTTGTGACAAGAATTTATCATTGGCGACGTCTGGTGCATACAAATATGATCACGAGCTGTACATCAGTACTGCTGTGAGTTTTTCAGTGATCGATCTTTTAACGTAATATCGTGATACCGTATTTGAAAGTGTCGGGGGAGCAAACCCGTAATAAGCATCGTTTTAGTTTCAAAGAATTATCGGAAAGATATTTTCTACGTGATAAATAATGTTTGTCTTAGTCAGAATTAAAGGAACAACTAAATACCCTGTTCGCCCTGTGCTTCTGCCCAAACAGAAAATATGGAAAATTCGTGAGGGCAAGAAAGTTTTTACTGGAATTCTTGAAGGTCGTTCACGTAAGTGTACTCATATTTTGTGTTTTTAGTGAACAAATAGTCGAAAAAACAAATTATGTCATCAAAAACCGAAAAAGTTTCCTCAACTTATGTGAATTGTCTATTTTGGTAACTATAGATTTTTCCCTGTTGCATTCTAAAAGAAAATATGATACAATTTATTCCATTAATAATCTCGAATAATCACAATATTTTTAAGCTAACTAGTGGAGTTCATGAACGAAAATCAATAAAAAAAATCATGAAATTCTACTGATGTACAACAATCGGTTATTTTGGTAACCACATGAACATTGGCCTATGCATTCTTCAAAATAACAAAATGAGATACATTCAATACATTCGCATTCAAATATATTCAATACTTAAAAAAAAATTGAACGAAAAGTGTTATTTGATGAAAGAGAAATTTAAAATGCCGATTGTTGAGTTTGGTAACTGTGTAACAAATTATTTTTATTCATAAATCAATAATCAAATAGTGAAATTATAAGAATATAGGCTTCAAATATATACAATTGAGAGGAATTATAAAAATAGTAAGAGTCCAAAATTCATTATCAATTATTTCTATAACTGCTCAAAGTTGATTATAAACTGGTAGTGTTAATTTGCAAGAAAATCTGGAATGACGGACTCCTTGGTAATATTACTTATGATAATTACCGTGTACGTTATAACTATGGAGTTTCATAAATAGCAGTAGTATAATTGAATGAATATTCACTTTTTTATAGAGCATAGAAGTGATTTAGTCACGATTGCTGATAGTCTAAACGCTGGGGCTCCATGGGTAGTATTGGATTCTCGTTTAGTAGCGAATGATACAGACCAAACACATCATCCAAAAGGTATACTTTCAAATGGAAGTGATGGTGGAGAATATATTGTGTCAAAAAGGAACAGCGATGAGAATCTTCCGTTAGGAACTGGGCCAAATGCTATCGAAATGAATAAAGCAACATTGAATATGCCACAAGAAGGAGACAATTCAACGAAAATGAATGATGACATTAAATTATTCGCTAACAACAAATCGAAGAAGAAGCGTAAAAAACGTAAAATTTCGAGAGGTAAAAAGTTCATATTATATAGCAGTAAATATTTGTTTGGTATTGAATGTTCCACAAAAATAATTACGTAATCATTATTTACTGTGAGGTGCTGAAATTGCTACCACATGTGCAACAGTCTATGATATTGAGGGGACAAAGTGTGCAGAATCTGCTCCGATGAACTCACGAACTGACATAACGCTAAACAATGTACCCTCAGTCAAAGAGAAATCCACAATAGATTCGATCGGAAGAACCTCCCAGGGAACTCTCGATCTCACACATAAATATGCTGACAATTTAGTGATTGATGAAGACGAAATTAAGAAACGTGAAGAAATAATGAGCTATCTTCAAATGTCCTATACACAGAAGAAAAATGAAATACGTTTGCAGAGTGATGGCATAATCAAGATTAACAACATTAATAGCGAGAATGCCGAGGGTAAAATTTTACTTAAAATTATTTATACGTCTCAGATGTTCGGGGATATACTGGTCAAGGTCGATTTTAAATTAGAGCCAATTTTCTGAACACCTCGTGTATCCTACACCAGCACAGCAAATTTCGATTCAAATCATAATTCGTCAACTCATGTCTACAATAACGTATTTTATTTTTACAAGAACGTAACGTTAAAATTTTCAATTCTTGTTTGAATTTTGAGAGTACAGCTGAAAAATGACCCGAACTCGAAATCGAGTTGACGGTTTCGATTTGAACTTTTTTACAATTGATTATACGTATTTTTTTTATACAATACCATCAATGAAATTTATATTTCATTTCTATTATCCTTAATTCAATGAAAAATCTATTCATCACTAGATTCAATTCAAATATCGATTAATGATGTACTGAGTAATTTTTCTTCTGTTATATGCAGCAAATGATCCAGCGAAGAATATCAATGTCTCCTTGCATCAGGGAGAAAAATCGCCTACAACTAGAAATGAATCTTTCATTTTCAAGGAGTTGGAGGCGCAAAGTATCGATATTCAAGACCACCAGAATACTCACCAGCAAAGGATTGAGATTGGGAAAGCAGGAATGAGAAGTGACGATGAAAATCAGAAGAGTAAGAGGTTTTTAAATTTACTATAGGAGCGAATCCCTAAATTCTATGTAGGATGAATTACCTTCAAATTTTGAAAGTTTTTTTTAAAATTTTTTATCGAAAAGTGTAGTGCGAATGAAGAAAAATGAGCGCAACTGGAAATCTCTCGCTCAATTATTGACAGAGATATCAGAGATTGTTTTTTATTTTATTTTGAAAACTTTTTTTTTTCAACTTTAATCAGGAACCACTGTGAAGAACAAAAAAATTCAACTCATACATTTTGCTGTGAATTCTTGCAACTTGTAGAGAAAAATATAGCTTCTTAGGTGTCTATACACGTTTTGACATGCAAAACTCAGAAAGAAAGTTTTAAACGGGTATTTGAGGTCGTTTCCCAAACTTTGAGATTTTTTTTCTCTCATCGCAAAGGTCAGAAATTTTTTTACCAAAAACAAACCATATTTTTTTTGCGTGATTTCTATGGAAGATATTCAATAGAAAATTCAATAGATTTTCATTTTTCTATGAAATTCATGGGCGTAAATTTTCTAAGTTTTTTCCGCTGTATTTTTATCTGTTTCTCATAATAAAACCCAAGAAAAAAGAATTAGAAAATTCATGTCCAAAAAATCTTATAAAAAAAAAATCCATCAACTTTTCCATTAAATATCTTCTATAAAAATGGCGCAAAAAGCAAATAGAATTTTCCTATGGAATTCTAATAGATTTCTAATCAAATTCTCACAGAATTCCAATAGAAACTCAATAGAATTTCTTAGAGAAAGCGCTAGATTTTTCGATTGAATTTTTCCTTACGTGACAATTTGGAAGTTTCTCGAACTTCCTCACAAACCGTACAGTTTTCTCGAATTTTCCGGTTTCTGGAAAACTGGAATTCTTGGACTCGAATTTTTCAGAAAACTGAAGGATTTCTTCGAGTTTACCATAAAACTATGAAATTTCATCAAATTTTCTGGAAAACCCGAGAATTTCCTTCATGACGTATGATCCTCGTGTTATTTGACTCTCGTAAATTTTGACCATCCCCACGTGATCCTCGTGATATTTGACTCTCGAGATGTTTTATGATGTTTGACAATCGTAAAATTTAATTGTCTCCTAGTGACCCTCGTGATGTTTGGCCCTCGATGACTTTGATCATCCCCTTGTGATTCTGATAGTCCTCGTGATTTTTGACCCTCTTGAAATTGGTCCATAGTCCTATCATCCTCGTAGAATTTGACGTGCCCCTTGTGACTCTCGTGACTCTCGTAAGAATTTGCAAAAAATACAATTACGAAGCTTCCGTTCGGAAGCAAGAAAGGGTCCGATTGTTTTTGAAATCCAAAATTCACTATTGTTCCACTCTGCCCCACGTGTTATTTTTCCTCATCTTTCCATTTTGCCCCACCCTCCTCTAAAAACGAGATTTCCGAACTTTTATCCATAATTGAAGTTGAAAAAGAAAAAATTCCAGATAAAAAAAAACGCTCTTCGATACCTCCGCCTATTATTTGAGCTGGAGACTTCCAGTTGCGCTTATTTTTTCAAATTTAAGATATACTTGTTGATAAAAAATAGGAAAAAAAAAACTTTTAAAATTTCGAGGCAATGTTTCTTATACAGAATTGGTTGATTCGCTCATAGAAAAATTCACATTATCTGTTGCAATCTTTTTTTAAAATCATCTTGGTCGTATTGATTTGAACGCAGATATATAAGAATATTTTTTTGTATTCTAGTCGATTTTTTTTTCAATATTTCGAACACTGAGAGAGATATACGGTGATTCTTGTCATGAATTTTTCAGTGAGAGATAGGGTGGCGACAAAAAACGATGCTGATGATGTTTTCTTGATTCGATTTGAATGACGAAACATTAAAAGTTGAGAACAAGTGAACATACACTCCCCTATTTTTGACATTTCATTATTGAGAAATTTTTCTTATCAGCAAGCAATCCCGATATGAATTCAATATTATAATACAGATGATTCCACCGGATTTTATTCATAAATCCGGCCGGAAAATTTATTATTTTGCTAGTAGTAGTGATGCCGTCGAGACAAAACACGATTTTTTTGAAGAGATCATCACGGTCTGAAAAAACAGCGAAAATTTTGTAATTATCGCAATCTGGAAAGACATTGGATCGATGCATCTCGCGATAATTTCCGAAGGGTTTATCTTGCATAGGTTTCGACTTTTTCTGTTTTTTAAGTTCACGAGACGAGACGAGACGAGACAAATGTCGAGACGGGCAGTTAAAAAACAGAAAATACGGAGACTCATACGTGATACATTCTTCCACTCTTGTGACGAGATAGAATGATCCAATGTCTTTCGAGATTCCGATGATTTCGAAACTTAAGATGTTTTTTCAGACCCTGATGATCTCCCACAAAAAAATGTCCGTGTATTTTCGACGGCATCACTAGCTTGTAGTAATTTCAACTACGAGAGCAAATTTTAAAGTCGGGTTTCTCTTGTTTATTATGTGTTGTTTTCTTTTACTCACAACAACATGATGAAACAGTAATATGTTTTCACAATTATTAATATCTTGCTCCTGTTTGCCTTGTGACCGTTCAATATTTAATTAATATTATTTCCTAAAAGGGGGATTTAGGGCAATTAAATAATGAGGACAAATGAGGAATAAAATTAACTAAATATCTATATTTCTAGTAATTTACAGATTAGATCGTCATAAGACGTTTGAAATGCCTTTTACTTGGATCTAGGGTTATGGGTAAGGCCAGGCAACTTTTGTACACGTAAAAAGGGGAGTGACTCTAATGCAGAAAAAGGGGAGAAGCTAGTCGTGTCGAGGGAATGCAACTAAATATAAGAAGAATAACTAAATGGGGAAGAAACAAAAGAATGTAGGCTCACCGTTGGGGGTACCCCCCAGGGGGTAATATTGTGGGGACAAGAGGGAAAATGAGGGGGGTAACTCGTACTCACGATGGGACTTCACTCTGGCGAACACGTGGAATTCCACCGGCGCCTTGCACTCCTTCAAAATACCAGGGCGTTTTCCTGGAGAGCCTCCTTTCCACCTCGGGGTTTCCTGGGCACCAATACTAGAGCTGGGATGAGCTCGATGTATCGAAAATCCTCTTTTTATCCGCCAATACTTCCGGGCGAATTTTACTGTATTCACTATTACTACTTTCGGGGCACGTGGTGACTCACGGGGCAGCTATTGCACGAGTGACGGTCTCTTCTTTTCCTTCGCGATTCGTGGGGGTTCGTCAGGTGTCGATGTCCTTCGGGTTTTAATTCGGGAGCAATCGGGGCCAATCAGCACGGGTGAGTGGTGACGATGACCACAATCCAGGGATGTCTCGCAAGGGATTATTGCTGGTGTTGAATATTCGGGGGTCTAGTATGGGGAATTTCCAGGAGGCGATGGCTTCTCCAATTGATCGGGTGGGGCCGGAACTGATGTCTTCCTTCGGCTGATGTCTTCGTGATGTCCAGTGGCAGGGGCAGAGGGGCGATGAGGGGAAAAGTGAGGGAAGGGGTATCCAACGGTGGCGGGATTTACATTTTAGGGGGCAGTGTGTAGTGGGAATAAATATGTAGAAAAATAATAAAAAATAAATGAATATGCCTCGTCACAGCCTCTATATGGGCCTATTTCTAACTGAAAGAATAATGTGTTTCACTATCTGGAAGAAAATGTCAATCAATTGTATTTGGAATAATCATATCTTTTAAATTTTCAATAATAAAACAAATATCTTTTCAATGTATAGCAGTCGATCCAGTAGAAACTTTAGATCGAAAAAGGATGTCACTTAAAGAGGGCAATTGTCACATTCCAATAGAGTTAGGGGTACAGATTAACAATAGTCAAAACAAACTGAAGACTGATGAGAAAAGGATTGAGACGCGAGCCTCAACAGATCTAAGTGGAATGGATCCAGAAGCAGCTGATGGCAATGAAGATCAAAAAGGTAAAATTGTTTGCATTGACTATGCACATAATTTTCTTTCAACGCACAGAAAATGTCACATTATTCTCTGAAATTTTATTTCGAATTGATCACCTATTTTTTGGGAATGTCTGACAAACTATACCCTATGAGAAAAGTTCCATAGGAATTCCACTCTTCAGTTAAAATGTTGTAAAGATTATTATTTTCAATTGATCGTGTCTATATTGTTCTACTGAATGAAAAAAAAAAATTCAAGACAAATCTCTGTCCGATTTTTTTTATGTACACGTATGGAAAAATTCTTTTTAAAAACCTAGCGAATTCACGAGACATTTACATTGAATTTCTATAGAATTTTCTATAAGTTTTTGTGGAAATGTGGATAGAAATGGAATTAGATTTTTCTATACAACTTATTCTATTGAAATCTAGTCTATAGAATGTTCTCCGCTCGAATTTCCCCATTTTTTTCATTCTATTTTTCTTTTCTTCCCATCAACAAAATCAGAAAAAAAACCTGGAAAATTTGAGCCGAAGAAATTCTATAGAAAATATCTCAATAGAAAAAGTTGTATAGAAAAATCGAATTCCATTGACTCCTATACAATACTATCTGCATATAGCTTCAACTTGAATTAAAATATATAAATTTTGAACTGTCTTTTCAATGATGAATTAATTACATATTGAGTAATTATAGCTTTTCAATGCCTAGCAGATGAGCCAGTAGGCAGTTTTGATATTCCCCTGGATCAGAGAAAAATGTCACCGAATAAGTCTGATTGTTGTGACATTTCTCTGGACTCAAAGACACAGATTATCGATAGTAAAGACAAACTGAAGACTGATGAGGGAAGCATTCAGACAAAAGACTCGATAGATTTAAGTGGAGTAATTTCAGAAGCACCAAATGGCAATGGACATGAAAAAGGTAAGATGTTTTTGTAATTGCTGAGAATCGCAACATGGCCTGGAGGAGTAGGAAATATTTGAAAGGTGTTTTTGGATCTACTGTGTATATAGTTTTTTTCTTCAATGTATAGGAAATGTCACATTGTTTATGTTGCTGTTCATTTCCATGTTGATTTGAAATTATATTAGATCATGGAAAATTGGGAACATCAGTACATCATACTAATTCATTGCCAATTTGCTCCATTTCATTTAAAATGTAAGCTTCCTCAGGCTCTTGACAAGCTATAATATGTAGTTATAATACAATCCAATGACTTTCATCATATCGAATTTTACAGTCATAATACAAAACTGAAAAAATACGTGTGCATAATGTGTTACGTCTGTCTGACTGTTGCTGACGCTGCATATTTTTTCACTTTTGCATTGTGACTATCAAACTCGACATGATGAAAGTGATTAGAATGTATTGTGACTACGAACTATAACTTGTCAAGAGCCTGAGGAAGCTCAAATATTAAGCGAAACGTCGAAAATTGATAATGAATTAGTATGGTGCACTGATTTTTGCAATATCTCATGATCTAATACAATTTGTCACGTTATTGTTTGGAATTTATTTTCAAATTCATGACGAATTTTTGAAAACTGTCTCACAGTCTACACCCGATAGTTAAACTTCCATACAAATCGTACTCTTTACAGAAAATTGTTTCAAAATTTTGTTTACAAATTAATGATCTGTACGTTGTTTTATTGAATGGAAGAAATGCTCACAAAAATTCTAATTTTTCGTCCATTATTGGAATCTAGCGTCCGTTTATGTTCATATGTATATGTATAGATGAACATAATATGTATATATAACTATATGTATATATAACTATTCATAACTGGAAGAGTTATTCTATTACAATTTCCAATTCGAGTGGTAATTCATTATATTTCGAGTAATTATATGTTCACTTATAATATGTTTTATTATAGCCGTCGATCCGGTGGAAACTTCCGAAATCCCTCTTGATCAAGGAAAGATGTCACTGAAAGAAGTTAATTCTCCTAACATGGCCAGGGAGGTAGGTATACAGAGTATCGATCGTAAAGACGAACTGGAGCAAAAGATTGATTCAAAAGCTTCAATGGAGCCAAGTCAAATGGAAACAGAAACAGCAGTTGATAGATATGAAAAAGGTACACTGTTTTTGGGATTATTGTGCATGTAGCTTTTTCAGCGGATAGGAAATACTACATCATCCTTCGATATTCCGTTCCAAATGGATCACCACTTCTTCAGAAATATCTGAAATCAACATCCAACCAGCGAACTTCTATACGAAGCTTAATCTTCAGTGAAAATTTTGTAGAGATGTTTTTTTTTATTGATCATGTCTATATTGTTTTAGTGAATGAGAAACATCCATTCTTTTAAATAAGATTTCTCTTCAATTTATTTCAGTCTAGCTTCCATTTGTGTTAATATATACGTCTTTCTAACTGATATGAATCAATGATATATTAAATAACTATATATTTCCTATGTATACCAGTTGATCCACTGGAGGATTTTGATATTTTACTGGATCAAAGGGAGAATTCGCCGAATAATGCAAATTACTGTAACATTCCCATGGAGTCCGCGGTACAGTCCATCGATACTAAATACGAACAGAATACTGATGAGCAAAATATTGAGACGAAAGCGTCAATAGATGTCAGTAAAATGGAAACAGGAACAACGGATTTCACTGAAGATGAAACATGTAAGATATTGTTGATTTTGTGGCACATGTAGTTTTTTAAATGCATGGAAAACATTCATATTATTTCTTAAAGTTTCATTTCGGATTCATTATATATTTTTCACATATTGTGATGAAAAATAATGTTCAACACGCGTGGGGAAAGTATTTTTTTGGGCCGTGGGATTATATCACTCATCGTCGGCTCGTGCTATAAACCTCCCACGAGCCAAAAAACGCTTTTCACACATGTATCGAAATATACTATTTGAAGAATGTTTCTCAATCAACTACCGATAAGTGGAGTTTCATACGATTCTTACCCTCTCAACATGATTTTTCAAGGACTTTCTTCAGTTAATTATGTGTATATTGTTTCTTTGAATGGAAAAATATATTTAAAAGTCGAATTTCTCATCGTTGAATATTTACGTTCATATATGTTCATATATGTATACTTATTTCTAACTGAAAAAATAATCCTGTTATTATTCTTATTTTAAACGTCTGATAGCTAAATATTGAATCATTCTAATTTATCTACGTGCAGTACTTGATCCCACAGATAGTGTCGTTACCCCCCTCGATGAAAATAAGGCGTTCGCAATGGAAATCAATCACTCTGCCATTCCTATGGAATCAAAAGTACAGATTATTGATGGTAAAGACGAACAGAATACTCACAAGCAAAACACTGAGACTGAATGTATGTCCGATTTAAATGTAAACAATACAGGGATAAGGTGTTTCATTCAGAATTCGAAGGGTAAGATTTTTCAAAATTTAGTATGCGTATACTTTCTGTAAAACCAAAGCATGAAAAAATTAAAATTTTTAATTGAAACGTGCTTTTCAAACCTCAACTTTGGTTATTTTTTTATGAACAAACTTGTAATATTTATGGAAAATGCGGTTATTTACAATGTAGAGATAGTAGGAATTACCCAATTTTATACTGACTTCGAGAGGCGGTGAAGATCCGCGAATATCTTTTTTTTTCATTCATATAGTTTTATCGGAAATAGCTCGAAAGGAGCGAATAATATTTCATTTTATTCACCTCGACTGTGGGCCTTTTTAGATAGAAAAATTATATATATCAGGTACTTATATTAATCAATTCATAGGACAATATTTTGTATTAGATTCTGAGATGAAAGGATTACTGTTAATTTTTTATTGTAATTTAAAAATTGAATAATCGCAAAAAATCATTTTTGGGAGAAGAATTTCGAGGTTATTGGAGAATCGTGTCAACAAGTCTCTTTGACAACAAAAAGTATTTTGTGGGGAAATATTGAAGATATCCATACGCGATTGAAGACTGAAAGCAATTTTAACCACTACTTGCCACACAATATTTATTTATGTAGGAAGATGCAGTGACATTCATCAGGAATTTGTCTGTTTGTTAGGTTCATCCATTCAGCCTGACAACAATTGTAGTGAAATATCTGCAAACGATAAAAAAGGGAAGAAAGCACGTATAGATGCAAGCCATGATTTAACTCCCAATTTTAACGTGGTTGATAATATAAAAACCAAAGCTGAGTTGAAACTCTTTACTTCACATGATAAAGGTAATTTATTTCTACAGTTCTTCATATTTCAATGATTGCATTACTCAACATTCAATCAGATGAAGTTTGGGTTGAATCCTTTCACTTGCAGTCCTACCGATGCCAATTTTTTCATGCATGTCCTTGGAATCGTGAATAGAATGATAAAAATACTCAATTTTTTTTGCAAAACTCAAAAGGAGATGGGGTTATTTTTCTCCTGACTCAACGAGATCTTAATCGAGTGAATATGTACACGTATGAAAAAATCGTATAGAAATTTTCTATACAGGTTGCGTATAGAAATGCTATAGGATTTCCGTATATGATATTCGGATATTTCTATACGAATATTTTCTATACGAATTATTTCGATACATAAATTTTTACATAAATTTTTGTTTTCGTACGAACGATGTCTAAACGCTTCAGAGAAAAACGTAGAAAAATGTCGCAACTCGATACGAAGTGTTTCTATACATGTGGCAGTGGGTCGTATAGGATCACATCTATAAAAATTGTATAGAAATAATTTGTATAAACAATATCCGTATAAAAATATCCGAATATCATATACGAAAATCCTATAGAAATTCTATACGCAATCCGTATAGAAAATTTCTATACGATTTTTTCATGCGTGTATCGGTCGCGACTCCACTCATTTCGATCATATAACACGTTCACCTAAGAGCGTCAACGAAAAAAAATGTCCACATACAGACGGACTCAATTATATTACTTTCTGAAAATCATCTGGAAAGATTTTACTCATAATGATACATTTAATGAAATTTCTATTCCTATTTTCCGGATGAAATCAATATCTTCCTACAGGATCTTCCTACTTGAATGGTAGTGCGTATTTTATGCACATCTCTGAGATTGATGATAGTAAACAAAATTATATCGACGAGTCACAAGAAATTTTAGTCACAGATGTTGATATACCATATGACATTCAGTTTACTGCACCAAAGGAAGTAATCGAATTTGATGCTGAAAATCCATTGTTACCTTCATTTTCACCAAATCCGAAATCGAAAAAAAGAAAATTATCACAAGGTATTAACAGTTCAAGTTTTTATGGCTACAATTTACATCCGCTGGGTTACAAAACAAGTACTTTTTTAGTGATTGAAGTTCCAAGATTACCTATGGATGTTGTTTTCATCGTTTCATAAACATGCTAATCGAATACCATAAATTTATCGTACTTCATTCTCATAACTTTCAGATTCTAGTAAGAGTGAAAAGGTAATCAAGGGCCTAAAGACTACTACTGTGAAGCAAGAAGACTACTCGAACTATGATTCCGATATTAGTGAGCTAGAGGCACTGAATTCCGATGATGATGCAGCATCAGAGATCCTGACTCCAGAAGAACTAAGATACGAAAATTTGGAATTATCTTTTGATATCACAAGCGATAGACATGATCAAAAAGCACGGGCTTTTCAAGTACCGATACCCACTGTATCAGATGGTAAATTTCAATATTTTAAACAGTTTTTTAATTTTACTCATACTTATTTTCTCATTAGAAAGATAGTTCAATGGGAAAATACGGAGAAGACTATCCCGATTTATATTTTGCGCGGATTCTTGGCTCATCTCTAGAATTCCAATGAGATATCAAGTTTTTCATGATGACTTCTTTTTTCGAAAACTTTTTTTTTTGTGGTGGTATTTAGACTGTAAATTTACAGTCATATGCATTTTGTTTGCAATGTCCGTAATTACCAATAATATACTATACTCAATCTTTATGTAGATGATGAAAGCGAAGATGACGATGATTCTGTGAAAGATAAAGATTATGAAGTCGAATCAGATGAAGAGTCGGATAGTGAATGTGATACCGAATCAATCCAGAATAACGCTAGGAAGAGATCAAAGAATAGAAGTTCATCGTGCTCTGAAAATCATGATTCTGTAAATACTTCTGCGAATGACTCAGCAAATTCTACCGTCAATCATTCAACAAATCTAAATGAATCTCTACCACGTGGTGCTCCCGAAGCCGAAAACCTGGTAGTACCCACTTCTGACTCTGGAGGGCCAAAGAAAAATTTCTGTTGCTTTTGTAAAACGATGCAGAGTAACATGAGTCGCCACTTGACAACTCACAAGAAAACTTCAAAAGAAGTGCAAGAATTTCTGAGATCTGAGCCAGGTAGGGGTGATTATTGAATGGAGAACGAGTATTTCGAAATATAATAACTTGATTAATAGATGAATTGGAACTTGAAAAATTTGTTCTGTTGCAGATAATCCTATTCGAAAGGAAATAATTGGACGCCTTCGTGCCCAGGGTGATTATTTATATAATACCAATCCAGATTACAATAAAGGACAATTACTAGTAGCTCGACGTCCCCATAGTAAATTGAAGAGAGACGCGAATGATTTTGCTATGTGTCACCAGTGTCGCAACTTTTTTTCAAAGAATAGTATAAGACATCATCGTCGTCCCTGTCTAGGCACTCAAAGTACTCCCAGTCGCGCTAACAACGCTTTATCTAAGAAAGTTAATGGCCGCGTTCATCCTATGGCTACTGAACGTTTTCAGTCCTACATTCATTCTAGTCTACGAAATGATGAAGTGGGGCTAGTAGTTTCACGAGATGAATTTCTGTTCCTATTTGGAAATCACATTTTATGTAAATATGAAAAACCTAATCAAAGAGAAATGGTGAGAACCCGTTTGAGACTGTTGGCCCGCATTCTTCTACAAGCGAAAGAAGTGAATAAGCAAATTTCAGATTTTGCTTCTTTATTCAATCCCCTATATTATAAAACAGTAATCCAGGCGGTAAACGCTGTAGCTGAATATGATCCAGCTGAAGGTACCTATGGTTTTCCATCAAATGCTCATGATGCTGGTACATATCTCAAAAAAGCGGCGCAGCTGCTAATTGTTGAATGTATTGAAAAAAAAAATGGAGAGAAGAAAAAAGATGTTGAAGATTGTTTGACCATTTACGCTACAAAATTTCCTGTTGAAGTTGCCAAAACAGCACGCGAAGCACAAGTCAAACAACATAGACAGAATAAAGATCGAAGGCTTCTTCCTGCCACAGACAATATTATAAAACTGTGGGATTATTTGATCTCTCTATCTGATAAAGCTCTGGAGCAACTGAACGAACGCTATTCTTTCGATGCATGGAAGACAGCTGCGGAAACAACACTTATAATGATTCAAATCTTCAACCGCAAACGAGCCGGTGAATTAGAAAGAATGGAACTCGATGATCTGAAAACTCGTGAGAGGATATCGGAAGATACTAATCCAGAACTCTTCCAATCACTATCAAACGAAGATAAAGCTGCTGTCATGAAATATTGTCATTATGATATTTGTGGGAAGTTGGGTCGAACAGTACCTGTACTGTTAACCGAGAAGATGGAGAGAAGCATAGGACTTATACAAAAGTATCGATCAAATGCTATGGTTCCTGCTAAAAATCCATATGTTTTTGGTATGCCTGGTATGCGTGTAGGTGGCTACAGATACCTAAGAGCTTGCAGATTACTAAAAGTCATGGCAGTGGAATGTGCTGCCCAGTATCCTGACTGTCTTCGTGGGACTGCTCTCCGAAAGGACATGGCTACCGCGTGTGCCTCCGAAAATGCTAGCGAGAATTCTATATTCGACGTACCTAATTTTCTTGGTCAGTCTGAAGAGATCCATCGTAATATTTACCGTCAGCCTGTCGCAAGCCGCGATTTATGTAACGTATCTCGTTTCTCAGAAACCGCAATAGGCATGAAGACAGGTGAGTATGATGAATCAGACGGGGAAGATAATGTTGGAATCAATGTTCGTAAAAGGGGTAATTGTAACAGTCGTCGAAGTAATAAGAATATGGATGATAACAATGCCAACAGCAATCAGGCCAATAGCTCTGAAGACTTTGAACCAAGTGTTAATGTTTCAAGTACTTCGACTTCTAGAAGCCAAACCTCTTCGAACAAGAGGAACCGGGTGCGAATATCCACTGACGAAGAGACCAGCGTGAGTAGTATTCGTATCAAATCGAGAAGAGCGTAGAGTACACTCGAACGTGAGCTGATGTATGAAGAATTCAAGAATAATGTCGAATTACACGTGCCTCTAAAAGCTGTGTCTATAAGGAATTTTCTGAAGGAAAATCCATGCGTTGAACGCACAGAAGCTCAAATTCGAACATTCGTGAGTAATCAGGCCAGGAGTCGCACAAAAAAAAGAGCTTATGAGAGGGGGGGAGCACGCTATAAAATATCAATCCTGTCTTTGAATGAGAATGATTCCTACCATCAAACTCAGTATAGACCACTGACTTTTTTCCTTTTTTTGTTTTATTATTTCAATAATTTCCTCTACGCAAGTCGTAAATACTTCTAATAATATTGACATCAAACTGTCAGAAATTCGAATGTTAAGATATATAAATCCCCATTCTTATGGGATATAATTTTGTTATTTTATTATATGACTCCTAAGAAAGTCTTGATGACATTCGAAAAAATCTAAAAAGCTTGTATGTTACACTGTGGATCTTGAACTGCCACAGAACAATAATTATTACTATCGACAATTCACATCCTTTTTTATTTGTTAACTGTTCATCCAGAATACGAAACGTATGAAAAAATTCAATGGAAAAAACCAAGCGCTTCCTCTAGGAAATTCTATTGAATTTCTATTGGAATTCTTTCAGCATTCCATTGAAAAATTCCATTCATCTCTTGCACCATTTCTATAGAAGATATTCTATAGAATATCTTAATATTCTAGAATTCTTAGGCATGAATTTTCTAAATTTTCATTCTTACGTTTGATTATGAGAAACAAATGAGAATGCAGCGGTGGTCCAAGAATTTCTACAGAACAATGAAAATCTATTGACTTTCCTATTAAATATCTTCTATCGAAAAGGTTCAAAAAACAATTTTTCAATAGATTTCTAATAGAACTTCAATAGAAATACTCAAGAATTCCCATAGAAATTCAATAGAATTTCTTAGATAAAGCGCTAAGTTTTTCCATTAGATTTTTCCGTAGAGAAATTCGGGGCAAAATCGAACAGTTTATTACCTTCAAATTCCAATATTTTCATTTGTAAACAAAGATATCAGTAATCTCTTTGATTACTGATATCTTTGTTTACGAATCACATAACAGAAGATCACAAAACGTTTCATTTTGCCACACCCCCTACGTGAAACCATGAACGAAGCATAATAAAATAATTTTATGATCCTAGAAAAACATGAAAATGAGTAGAAAAATTAACAAAATGCGAATAATACGGACAAAACATATTTGCATTACGTCAGTACATAACTCGAATGATGAAAATATATTTTAAGAAAACTAGTATAGGAGATACGAAAAATGATTCGTTCGAATGATCGGAAGTATAAAAGTACAAATAAATATTGGTTAATGAAAGAGAAAATTATCTCAATATGGTCGTTGTGAGGAAAAAAAATTACTAACTTTACCATACCTTTTTTGTATTTGTTGAAGAGTAACATGTAAAACAATTAGGACCCAAAGAAAGTGTTTAAAAAAATATTCACGTTTGTATTATTTATTGAGATTCGCTACTTCCCTTATCTTATAGACCGTGCTTAAAAGTATACCTCGTATAGGAGTATGAAATGATAGTGGTAACAGTTACCAAAATGACCACCATAGTAGTTATTATTGATTTTGGTAACAGTTACCAAAATAACGACAATAAGGTCCATCGATAACGTTGACGGGCCATTTGCTAACTATCTAGGATCAAATGTTCCATTACAGTAGTATGCTTTCTACGTATTATATTAAGATTGAATCAATACTCCCAAAGATATTCGATGGAAGATTAATGTCCTTAATTCAGTCGTGAAAATGATTACGTGTTTTCCCAGCCACGTGTGATGTTATCCCATCAATTGCCATCATTTCCATTCCTTTAGTGGAACTGAGGCAGAGGATATAGATGTGCATTCTTAATCGGGATTTCCGCGTTTCTTTCCAGTATAGACCGCGTTTGATAGGGTGCCTTGTGTAAGTGTTTGAATAATGATATTGGTAACTGCTACCAAAATGACCAGTACGATAGGTATTGACGTATTTAGTAACGGTTACCAAAATAATCGAGATAATGTGCATCGGTACCGTTGATGAGCCTTCGGCAATTCGCTGAGATTCAGTATTACATTACAGTACTTACAGTGTTTCCTACGTATTCCATCAAAAGTCACTCGATAATCCTAAAGATGATTGATGAAAAAGCAATGTCGTTAATTTATTCATAAAAATGGCGTAATAGAACCTACCAACAGTATACAACATATAGCAATAACTCCATTAACCAAAATCGAGAAGTAAAGCGAAGAAGACCTTGCAAAAATTTACGTATGTCCATATGAGAAGAGCTCTCTTCGATTATTCGGTTGAACGTAAATTATTTAGACTTCCGTAATCTCGGTACGATTCAACACATGTTGAACCAAAATTAACCCCAAAAACTTGAAGATTCACGTTGCCATAAAGATGAAAAATTTCACACTGATCAAGATGAGAGGTGTCAATGGGAAAACGTAAATATCGTCGGACTTTGAATGCTAAATTTCATTCAAATATGAAAAAAATGGAATAGTATTCTCTCATAATCGGAATCATTTGTTGGTACAAATCAATTTGTTGTATAACAACGATATTGGCATCAGATTCTAGTAACGATCAGTTATCCATTTGTACTTTCATACTAATGATGACTGTAAACAAATTATCATTCAGATTTGATGATAGAACATTAATACCATTCTTTTAATATTTTCAACATTTTGCACACAGCTCCTTTCTATTTTGACTTCTACGTCTTACTTACATCCCCAAATTTCCTTATTCAGGAAACTCTGTCTAATAATGTTACTGAAGTTGTCACTATATATCGTATACGGTTACCAAAATTGCCGGAGCAGGGGAAAATGATGATATCGCTAATAGTTACCAAAATAACGAACATAGATTCATTGTTGGAATGAGTAACATCTCTTCAAATTATCTTATACGAGGCTTCTCATTACAGTGATATGATTTATATGTTCTATATCAAGAGTCGCTGACTACGTCTAAACATGAATGATGAGGTGAATGTTGTTTATTACTATATAAAGATAGTGGAATTAAACTTGATAAATTAAGTATGATATACAGGATGTCACAAAATGAAAGGTCGTCCTCGTACATGTAGTTTGAAGGACTCATTCAAAGACGATAATTTTGATGACATTTTTTTCTTCGACGCTTTGCGTACAAGTCATCAAGAAAAAAAGATGGCAAAACAAACGTTTCTTCCCGATTGAGAGCTCATAGCCGTTTTCCCCAAACTTCCCAGACTTTTTTAAAACTTCGTTCAAATATCGTTCATCTAAAAACTAACAATTTTTCCCTATGACACAAAAAAATTGATGTTTGAGAACCAAGATGTTAGACTGCAAAATTTTCCGGTTTCTCCATACACAGCAATGTAAATTAACTTCATTTTGACTTTTTCTTTTTAAAATTCGAAAAACTTTCTCAGAATTTTCATGAAAAAAGTCTCATTAATAGTTTATACTATCAGTTTTATTTTAAGATGTTAAATTCCACAATCTGATGTGTACTTATTGAGGGAAGAATTCGAATAGGGATAAATTTTTAGGGTTCTATGGCGGTGTTTATCGTATGTCATATGCTTATACATCGACTGTCAATGTATTGGACAGGGTTGTATAAATATTCTCTCGCTCGGGATGGAACGAAAAAAATTCGAGTAAACTATGCGAACTAATCAAGTTGAAATATTAATGCCATTCTCTTAGTATTTTCTGCATTTTTCGCATAATTTATTTCTATTTTGACTTCTGTCTTGTTTACACGTATCAAAAAATTTAATAGAAAAACCTAGCGAATTGCTTCAACAAATCTATTGGATTTCTATAGAACGTTCCATAAGTTTTTCACCGTCCCTATCAACACTTCAAGTAGACGGAGATTCTATAGTAAAAGTCGATAGAATTTTATTGAATAACATTCTATAGAGTGTTCCGGGCGCGAATTTTCCAAGTTTTTCTCATTCAATTTTTCTTTTCTTTCCATCACGGAAATCGAACAAAGAAACTTAGAATATTTGAAATTTTCTATAGGAAATATCTCAATAGAATAAATTGCATAGAAAAATTGGATTCCAGCGACTATTTCTATACAATACTTTCTATAGAACATGTCAATAGAAACGGCCAAAAAATTGAAGAAAGTTTTACACGAATCCAATAGAATTGTCTAGCGAATTCGCTAGGTTTTTCTATTAAATTTTCTCGTGAGTGTACATTTTCAAATTCTTTTGTTCAGTGAACTCTGTCTACTAGTGTTACTGAAGTTGTTACTATATATTATATACAGTTACCGAAATTGCTGGAGTAGTGCGGAATGATGATATTGGTAACGGTTACCAAGATAACCAAAATAATATTGATTAATGAGTAACCTCACTTTTAAATATCTCATACGAGGCTTCGCATTTCAGTGATATTATTTCAATGTATCATACTAAGAGTCCCTCAATGCTACTAAATATGAATGATAAGGTGAATGTCGTTCATTTGTTTATAAAGATAATGGAATTAAATATAGTAACGCTATACCGCTATACGGTGTGTCGCAAAATGAACGTCCTCGTACGGGTAGCTCGGGGGGCTTATTAAAAAATAAAAGCTCTAATGACATTTTTCTCTACGATACTTCGTATACGACTTATCATGGAAGAAAGATAGCAAAACGAACGATTTCCCCCAATTGAAAGATCATAGCCCGTTTCTCATTGAAGGTATATAGAGAGTGGTAGTAGTTTTCTCAGGATTTTTTACAATCTTCGCTCAAATATAGTTCATCTAAAAACCATCAAGTTTTCTGTATGACTCAAAAAAGTTGATGTTTGAGAAGCAATATGTCCAGCTGCAAAATTTTCCGGTTTCTCCATAGACAGCAATGTAAATTGTCGTAATCTCGAGTTCTTTCTAATAGATTGAAATGTCTGCTTTACTTTGAGTTTTTAAACTCCACAATCTGATGTGTCCTTATTGAGGAAAAAATTTGCCAAGTGATGAATGTTTAGTGTTCATCGTATATCATAGGTGGATGAGCCGAGTGTCGATGTATTTCGCAGGGCCATACAAAAATTCTCTCGCTCGAAACAGAACGAAACAAACTGGAGTTGGGCGATGCCTGAAGTGGAAAAAAGGGCCGAAGGCCCGCGGGAGGAAAGTACGAATTTTCTGCCATGTTTAAGGGCAGGAGAGAACAAATTCTCCGGTGACTGTGAAAAAATATTAATACCATTCTCTTAATATATTTTACGAATTTTCAATATAGCTTCTTTTCATTTTGACTTCTACGTCTTGCTTTCATTTCCAAATTCTCTTGTCTAGTAAATTCTTTCTAATAGTGTTACTGAAGTTGTCACTATATATTGTATAGAGTTACTGAAATTGCCGGAGTCGTGTGAAATAATGATATTGGTAACGGCTATCAAAATGACCCATGTAATATTCATTAACGCAATTAGTAACCTGGCTATCAATTATCTCATATGAGGCTTCTCATTACAGTAACATCATTCCTATGGAATTTTCTA